TATATATATATATATATATATATATATATATATATATATATATATATATATATATATATATATATATATATATATATATATATATATATATATATATATATATATATATATATATATATATATATATATATATATATATATATATATATATATATATATATATATATATATATATATATATATATATATATATATATATATATATATATATATATATATATATATATATATATATATATATATATATATATATATATATATATATATATATATATATATATATATATATATATATATATATATATATATATATATGATTAATGACATTTAGACTTAACAGTTTGTTGGCAAAAGCCTTTAAATGCCACTTGCATTGGACAGCAAAAGCCACTATGTCCTTAGAACCAATCAGAAGGCGTAAATCGAATAAATGTAGTTTTCAATGTAGCGGCATGCTGATAAACCGGCTTTTATGAGGAGACTGCTTTATTCTGATTCATATTTAGATTTTAAAAGAAGTAGTACTGCATGAGCCTGTCTGATTGTCACTGAATGGCAAAAGAAAATGTCCCTTCCCTCACAACTCTGTTCATAATAAGAAAAAAGAAAAAACATATTGAACAGTTGTAAGTGTAACATGCATCTTTAACGTGTTTTTTTGTGTGTGTGCAGTGATGCTACTTTTGAATGAGTCTAATTAACTTTACATTAAACAACACCATTTTAGGATGGAGTTCTTTTATCCCACAGATGCTATGACATGATATAAACAGAAGAGACAAAAAAGACATGTTACGATCAAGACCTTGATTATGGTGAGAATGAATGAACGACAGCTTAAAAGCTTCTAAGAGACATCCTTTCTTTTTTCTCAGCACTTGTTTTACAACAACACTGTTTTCAACACTGTTTTATTTGCTAATGTAAGCAATTCTTTTTAAGATAAATATAATGTATACAATTATGCAGTATTTATATTACTTTATACTATAGGTCTGATAATCTTTTTGTAAATGGACATTGGATAGATATTAATGTTTCTCTATGTTTTGCTCAGTTCTAATATATCAAACCAAAATAAGACTGCAAATAATACTTTTACAAAAATAAGACTGCTTATCGTACAACAGGAATAAGAATGACTGAATTCTAAACAGGAATAACAGCACAGCCTGAACATTAGAATAATCCTTGGTAACACTTTATTTTGATGGTTCATTTGAGTATTAGTAATCTGTCTGCTTAATATCTGTTGATATGCTCCCTCAACAGACATTTTACTGACTATAAGAAACTTTGCAAGTACATGTCAGCTTACACTAACCCTAACCCCAACCCTAACCGCAACCTAACAGTCTACTAATGAGAATTGGTTGGCATGTAGATGTAATGTAACTTAATTTTAAAACTAACAGACCATCAGAATAGTGTGACCTAATCCTTTTATTTACTTTCCTTGGCGATGACGTAATGATGGCATAATGATGACGTATTTATTTTTCAGCTGTGTAAGGCTTAAATAAAAATGTTTTCGAATGAAGATAAGAGTTTAATCAAAGGTTTACGAGAACTGAAAGACTACAGTGCTTCACATTTTCTTAGTGAATTTCCGACTCAAAATTGGACAAAAGGTGGATTGGATTACTTGTTGCTGAAAATTTATCACACTGGATCAGTATGTCGTGTGGCAGGAAGTACATGCACTGCCCGTACTGTTGAAAATATCACCACTGCCCAAGACATTGTACTGAGCCAAAAAGATGCAGAAGAATTTAGATGTAAATTTCCATTAAAAACTCCACAGGTCCATATTTATAGTACAGTGCAAAATAGTATTTTTGGGGTGAACAATTCCTGTAATGTACACTTTAAATATAGTTGCAAATGTATTATTATTTTTTTTTACCAGAGCAATGATAAATGATCCAGAGTTTAGCTCACACACAATGTAGACTGCTGTTGTGCTCATTGTGTGAAGAGAAAAAGTGACCTAAGTGTTGAAGAGTTGGTCTTAGCAACTCAAAAAACAAATAAAAAAAACCTTAGCATGTGTGTGTATTTAATGCTGTTGTCTGTATTTGCCATCTTACAGTCATTCTTGGTTTGTGCTTTTAATTTCCAGAGCAGTCTTTCAGCAAATTTATCTCTTATCAACACCTCACAGAGCCACATCACAGATCACACGTTTACACGGGCTAAAATTATTACAGAGCAGATAATTGTTCAAACTCCTGCAGGGTGGCACAGTGAAAAACTGAGAACATGCAGAGCTTCAGTTAGACTTTGATATTCTGCTGGTTTTATCCTCACACATCACATCTTTGCGCTGTGGTTGAAATGGGCTGTCAGGGCTGACGGACATTATGCTTGTGTTTTATAGAGTAAGCTTACCGATGTCACAGTTGCGGCCGCGAAATCCCTCCTGACACACACACAGGTACTCGTTGGGTTCAGTGTTGGTACAAGTCCCACCATTCTTGCATGGCTGATGGTTCCCACA